CGCGGGTTCAACTCCCCCCTGGGACGCTTCCGGTACGTGCTATAGTGCTATGTTTAAGGGTTCAAGGCTTCAATGATGAGCATCACGGGAAGTCAGAAACCAGGCGTATCAGATACACGTGCCTTTGAGCTTCCTTCGGCATCTCAGTGCATAAGTGCATATGGCTGACACTTCACTCGACAAAGATGCTCAAACAAACATACATAAACCAGGTGTATCTGACACGCCTGGTTTGTGACTTCCCGTGATTCAACTGTTGGATCGTCATGTATATGTAATGAGGGACTGAAGAAAAGCAACCAGTCCGGATGCACCCCTGCTAGCTTTCGTCACCTACCCTCGGCCTCAAGTCGAGCCTTTCCCGAAGCAACAAAATGGCTCCTGTGGGTCATTTTCAGGGCCCCCATTTGATCCCAGGTGTGAAGGACAGCAACGGTCGAAACTTGTGAGGCAGACGTAATAGTATATTATATATATATGACATCAGACCCATGCCTTTTTAAAGATCTTTCTTCGACGGAACCACAAAACCACCGCGCCGAAACGCATGGGTTCTTTCATGCTGCATGCTCCGCCCCATCTTGCGAGGTCCAAGTGGTTCTTGGAGTCCAAATCGTCCAAGACGAACCCCAAGCGGAACTGGTACGTTTGGCATCCAGGCTTGGGGAGACCGCTGTGGGAAGACATGTTTTTGCATCCTTTTTTTTCTGGCCTGGTGAGACAGACACTTTCTGAAACTCAGGAAGCTGAAGGTTCTTCGCTAGGAATTTGGGAGAAACGGAGAGACCAGTCACGGAGCCCCACTGGAATTTTTTTCTGTCCACTTGTTTGGGTTCCCTGATTTCCCAAGAAATTGTGGCAACAGATCACCCGCCCTCCAAAAATGACCGAGGAAACCCCCGTCTGTTTGTGGTGGAACACTGGCCAAAGAGCTTCCGGAACCTCGACAGAAAAAGACTTTCCGGATGCACTGGAACTGATCTGTCGCGGTGTGTGATTGATGTCCGTTGCCCGCGGCAGGTGTTGAGGTCAATGGCACTCGCCAACCGCCCAACAACTGGGCATCCAACTTTGGTGGCGGTGCAGGCGGGGACACGTGAACGATCACAAGCAGATGCAGGTGGATCACCGATGAACCGAATCGTTGTGCCCAGCGGTGGGCTTTTAGTAAAGTATCCTAAATCCTGTGGATCAAAGACGGGAAAGGGCTTTAAAGTTCCATCCCAAATGGATTTGCTTTAAACATCTTTTAACTGTACACAAATTTTCATTGATGTGTTACGTTAGTAAGAGTTTTAGTAAAACCACACTATATATATATATAAATGGGTAGTTAAACTAAGTCTATCCATTTATATTAACTTAGCAAGAAAACAATCGCATTGTTTGAATCAAAGTCAACCAACATGTAAGGAACCATTAGGTAGTAAAACAATCGAAGATACCGAGTTTTAATTTGTTTGACATTCAGCAATTTTGATTAGAACAGTATACTATAAATATAAATACAAATGGGCATTTTGTTAAAACCACATTTTTCCCTATTTATGACTCAACCATATATATTTGATTGTTCATTAAACCCATTTTAAAAAGAATCGGATCGCATGCGTTTTTCATTTCCTGACCTATTAGTGGCCATCTGATTTGTTGTTGATCTGCGGCAAGTACTTGTTTTGACTCCTGAATCAAATGGGTGCCAGGATAGTACTGTGTTGCACCAAAGCCAGTGGTTCATGTTTTTTCCTTGTGTTTCTCCCAGTAGATAAGCTCACGGCTGAAATCATTTGGGGGAATTTGTGAGGTCGAGCCACGGGATGCGCTTTTTGTTTTGTGCTAACATTGAAACGGTTGGTTTCTTCCCGTCGACTGGTGCCTGCACTGGACCCATCTGCAGCCGCCAGTCGAAGACCAGTGTTTCTGGACCCAGATACACTGGACCCATCTGTTACTCAAGTAACGTTGTCGCCAAATTGATAAGCACATGATATCCGTTACATGTATGGGAGGGAAAACACATAAAAGTGTTACTATGTCAGTGATCACAAAAAGGGCACGTGAAATCCCCTTCTGGGCCCACTCCATCCGGATTCGCCCTCGACGGGCCGTGGGCTTTCGTCGGCAGGATCTGCTTGGACCTGGGATTCCAGCACCGAGGACGAGGGATGAGGGACCAGGGGCGATCAGGGGGTCGATGAAACCTGGAGAACCCAAAAAGTTTGATGCGGAGTCAACAGGAATGCAACTCCCCCTCAGATTGAGGAAACCAAAATGAGTTTGGAACATCATTATGAGAACATAGTGATCTTGGAGATGCACACGCGAACTTGGCAATTTTACAGTGTTGCATCTTGTTTTTCCTTTGAAATACGGATCCTGGAGGTTCCTGAACTTTCAGGTGGTACAAGAGAACCTGTCCATCTTGTCCGCACCGGTGCCGCAGCCGTGCTGCATCGAAAACGGCTGGGCCGTGGAAACCACCGACGGTGAGGAGTATTACTACCATGCTTTTGGCGAGTTTCAGCCCGACCTGAACTACCGAAATCCTGAAGTGGTGGAGGCCAGCACTCTCAGAGTCGGTGGCTGGGGGAAGTGGGGAGTTCGAGAGGGTGTGTCTGAGCTGGTTCAATGGGTTCAATGCTGAAAGTCGTACATGCCCGAACTGCAGTGATAGATCAACAACTGTTTGTGAAACTGTCCCAAACTAAGGAATTCTCGCCAGAACTGGCCAATTCCAGCCTGCAGGTTTGTTCATGGGAAGGGGCTCACCGATGCAAGTTCTGTGACTGATACACAACAATTATACAGATTAAGACATGGAAACATCGCTACTAGGAGCAAGGGCAACGCTACTAGGAGCAAGGGCCTTACTAGTAGTAACAAGAAGCCACTTGAAACAAGAATTAAATAACACTGTGAAACCCTCCTGTGCTGCCTCAGTCACGAGGCGATGCAGGAGGTGCTCCGCTTTTGGCTTCGCTTGGGAGCTGGGGAACTCAATGATGGCTGACCGCGGCAAAAGCATCTCACAGCTCCCAGGCCAGTGGAAGCTGACCCTGTTATGTGGGAGATGGGTCTTAAGGAAACTAAGGGAAGAACTTGCATTTTCTTAGTAAGCAAGCTCTTGCACCTGTTTGATCTTCGATTTCAATCAAGTTCTTATGAATTATGAATTCTTAAGCTTCCCAAAAGAGACCTCTGAAGTCTTGTTGAGCGCTCTGAGCGAAGCGGCCGCTGCAGTGGCGGCCGCTGGAGGTTCAAGGACTTTCCTTCAAACAGATGTTAAGTGGAAGAAGCCTTCGTGATTTTCACAGATCCGCTGCATAAGATTCAGGATTCAAAGACATTGAACTTATTAAATCTTCTAGGGTTTTTGGGCCGACTCAGTGCTGAATTCGTGAGAGCTGGAACCTATCGAAGATCACCTCCACCTTCGATGGTTGGACGTCCTCCACGTCTAATCTTCAGACGCTAGTGTGCTCTTGAAGAGTGCTGTCAATCACATACTCACCACTCCCCTCTTCCCTTGCAGATCATGGTCGAGATTGGAGGCCATCGCTATTATCGCTATTCGGTTGGAGGCCATCACTTGGGCCGAGATGAATGTATATAGATAAGTCATGATAAGATATGCTAAGTCTTCTTCTATTCTCCGGGGACAACTATCACTGATGAATTACTTCCCATGTTGCTCAAAGTTCACCGCAGAACGGTGCGAACTATCACCAGCACATGATCCATTCCAAATGCACTTTGGCTATGACCATGGCACCGCCTGCGAACTGGATGGTGACCAGTGCAATACCATAGATGTTTGATTTCTTTCTCATGCCAGTTGCGGTACAAAGACATGCCCATGTACAATCCAAGATCCATCTGCTGACAGTCGGGAGCGACAGTCTGTGGCATCTGCAAGTTCGTGACAGTCGACCAACACACAGATTTGTCCAGGCGAACTTCCTACTTCCTACATGGCCATCCTTGCCCCACCTGCTTCGGCAAGCGGGTGTGTAGGTGTAGGGATCTGCAAGTCCGAGTGTGTAGGATTTTCGAAAAAACACGTGTTTTTTTCGAACCACATTCCCCACCGAAAGTCATGAACCTTGGACTTACGCCGTGAACATCCGTCAACGCCTCGGTCTACCAGGTGTTGGCCGTAGACGTCGGTTGCTGCCGCCGAGACGTCGCCGAGGCCGGAGGCTTCCGCATCGACGCAGTGCCCTTCCTGCTGGAGGACATGCAGCTGCGGGACGAGGCGAGGCTGTGGGGTGCGCGGTGAGTCTGTGAAGCAACTTGAACGATCAACCAGCTCGTCTCAACCAAGAAAGATCTTCAACATTCTTCAACTGTCAACCACCAATTATATGTCTGAAAAATATTGAAAGGATCAACTATCAGTAATGTCCTTCATTTCAATCCTGACCAAGTCGGCGGTTGTGATCTTTTTTCAGGAAACTAAGAGCTTTTGGCCACAAGAGTGGGCCGCTTACAAAGGTTGCTCCATGTATATAGATGTGGATTGTTTTAGCATTATTTTAAACCTCCCTCAAGGCTCTTGGAAGCAAATCTCAAAGCATTCCAAAGATGAGTTGCTCAATTGTAATGCGGGTTTGCTTGAACCGGCGGCAGGGAATTGTGCCAAGAGGCATTACAAGAGGTCAAGGTAGGTAGGACAATACAGTGCTCGTTCGCACCGTCTCTCAACTCCCCTTCCAAAAAAGCTGCTGCTGACAGGCGGGGTAGACTCGCTATGCATTGCATTCTTGTCTTGTGGACTGTGTCCAACCAACTCTTCCTGCCCAGACATCAAGTCATGCAGGCGCTGAATGAGAGCTGTGCCAAGACTCAGATGGCCTGGAACTGCATGTGGCCTGGACTGGAACATCAACACAGATCCTCCAAAGAAAATCGGGTTGATGAATCCTGCACCACCTTAAACCATCGGCTCACCCTATGGTTTGGCGGAATTGACCGTGGATTGTTAGGGCCTTGGGTGCAGAATTCAGTCCATCACTGGAACCTCCTCACGTTTATATCAAGGACTTTCCTCTGGCGCAAAACGTGAAGTTACCAGCTCGGGCGGGCGCCACTGGTGGGGTGTGCCGGAAGCGGAGCTTCCAATCCGGGTCGAGACGGCAGTGTCTCCGGCAGTGGGAAGGAACCGAGGTTCCACTCCACTGGAGGACTCTGGTGAGATGGGACAACTCTCGGAAGGAGCCGACAGTAGCTTCATGCTGACACAGCGACGGCCAGGCGATCGAACGGCGACGGGCCAGGCGATCGAAAAGTCTGGGGACCACCTCATGCCATAGCCATCCCATCCGCCATCCTAGCTATGCGGGACAGAATGGACTCTTCAGGACTCAACATCTTGGACTCTTCAGCAAAATCTCACGAGGTTGCACTGTTCTTGGGATCCTCACCCAACCACATGCGGGTTGCCCTGAGGGTGCACAACTACACCAACAACAATCCGCAGAACCATGAGATCATCCAGGGCTGGCGCAAAACGGTCGAAAGCTTAGTGGAAGCAGTGCACTTGGAAAACACGCTGGATTCTTCCATTTCGCATCAGAAACACTGAGAGAACGTACCAAGCAAATAAAAGCGCCTGGCGGGTCTTCTGAGCATGGCACCAGTTTTTCGCATGTCTTCAACCTGGCTGGGATATCCTTGGCGGGGCGTGGTGGAGCTATGTTGTCTACAAACACGGACACAGCGGAGACAGCTTTGGAGGAGATGTCCAAGACATGACCAAGACATGGACGAGCTGGTTCCATGAGCAAGCAAAATGCGGTGCTTAGGTTTATGACACCATGGACATGAATATGCGTCAATATGAGGGGATTCCCAACGAAGAGCTTTGCATCTACTCACCAAAGCAATGCCAGGAGGGGTTCCTATGTTGAGATTCTCCATGATCTCCATGTGAAGCTCAAGCCCATTTGACCTATGTACATTTTGACCTATATCCATTCTGCTGATGGAGACCACCGAAGCCCAGAAGCTTCACCGCGACCCCGCCGACGGACCCGCGACCGGTGGACGGACCGAAGCCTCCGCGGTCGCCGCTCCCCTCCTGAGGTGGACGAGTTCGAGGGCCGCGTGATGTTTGGCGAGATCTACGCGCCCTTGAAGGACCTCATGCAGTACTATGGCTCCTTGGAGCGACTGAGATGTTGGGGCGAGTGAACTGGAGCGACTGAGAGATGCGAAACGTGACCCACTAAAAAACCATTCCAACTTACATGCTTTTGCACGAAACTCGGGGGAGAAGCGCGACTGCAGGTACACCCGAGAAGCCCGAGTTCAATGTGCCCTTCAACTTCGAGGTATGACTTCAACTGAAAACCATAGCATGAATTGGACCAAAATGGCATGAATTGGATAGATATCGGATGGATATTTGATGTTTGACCCCTTTAAGTGCTATTGGCACCTTCTGGACCCAGAAGAGGGGCCTAAATTCATTGCACAACTCTGCGAGGCTGCAGCTCCCTCTAGGCGGAGATCCCTAAAATCCCTGCAACATTGCCTAAAAGCCTGATGCATTTCTTCGTGGTTTTTGGCGAACCGCCGGGCTTCGCGTCCACGAGAGACGTCGCAGGTGCTGGGTGCAGACTTCGGCGAGCCCAATGACCTCCGGCAAGCGCCCATCGTGCGCCGGGCCGTGCGCGCATACGCCGCTGCCCTGCCGGAGACGCTGCTGATAGACGGTTGGGGGCCGCTGGTGAGGGTGACCCCTAGGAAGTGCTGTGAAAGGACGAGAATCTTCAATGTTTAAGATCATTTTAAGGAACAGTTGGCATCATTTTGGGGTTGGTTGTGCAATTAAACCTTTTTGCTGTTTCCATTGCCTGCCTGCACAAGCATTCACCGCCGATGGCCGACTCGCACCGGTTGCGGTGTGTGCTGGTAACAAATGGATAGGCCACCATGTCCTCCGTATCATGACCTGTATTAGCTGGACACTGTTTTAAGAGGTAAAACCGTAGTCACTCCCAATTCAATCAACATGATTAATGCCACATTTGTTTTACAGTATATAATTTTGTAGGGCCCTGCCAAGGGGTTAGGTCCGGTTCCATTCTGGGCTAAGAAAAGCACCCCCTGCTCGTGTTCCGGGTGTTGGATGAGAGGCGCAAGAGGTGCATGGTGATCTTGGTGGTTGATCTAGGTTGCTAGAATTTGAGTGCTGCAGCTTGTGCCAAGGTGCAAGAACCTGCATTCTTGGTGAGGTTTTGAAGAAAGAAGTAGTGCCTTGTAGGGAATATGGTATGTCCAAGGCTTCAGCCAGGATGTGTAGTGGGAGTCCCTTTGACAACATTCGGATGTCTCAATTCACAGAATTAGTTTCGTTTGCGCATATTGAGTATCATTAGTATGCTCGTTGGGCATGAATCAGTCACCTGTTGCAGTGCCTCCCCAGGACTGGTGTCATGGCAACTGGGTCTTGGGGAATCACGACAACCACCGTTTGATGCAACGCGACTTGGTATTTCACCTCCACCAGGGCGGGAGATAGCCGTCCTCGGCCACTTGAACTGCTTTTGCTCTCCAAGTTCCACAAGAATGCCCAAGAGGAACGACAGGATCATTTTCCAGTGCTTGCCTATTGATGGGACATGAGTACATGAGCATGGAGTGTGGTCACAGGCAGGAAACCGAACGGTCCTTTGCGTCGTTTCCTACCATCACACACATGGCTGCAACCGAACGATCTGTTTTTGCGGGACCACCGGATGGCTTGGACTTCAGAGAGCGACCTGAGGCTTGCATAACGACACCCGGCTGGCGACCACTGTGCCTTGTTCCCGACCCGGAACTGGGACGTTCATTCAGCGATGCTCGGGGTGTGAACGGCTCTGAAAGATGGCTTGGAAGGCTTGGAAGGCTCGGAAGGCTTGGTTTTCTGCCAACTGGTCTGGCAGTTGGAAGGCTTTCATGGGGCGGTTGTTTCTGGGCAAAGCTGTACAGCATGGGTCATGAGGGGCATGGTCACCTACTCCGGTGAAAAATGGCGGATGAGATGCCTTGGAAGTGAGTGCAGAGACGATGACACTCCACATCAATTGGACATGGAACTGCTCTGGTATTTTTCCTCTATACAAACCACTCTGGACTCAGACTCTGGACTAGAACAGGACGTCTTCTTCCCGCTCTTCCCCCTGCATGTTTGTTCCCGGGACTGCTGATTGATGTCCCTGGGACCTTCCAACTTGCGCATGGTGTTTCAGTGTCTGCATGAGGTCTACAACTTCTTTAACCTCTTGCCTGGCACTCCTGTCGTCTACCAAGGCTGAGCTGAAGCTGGATTCCGGTACGAAAGCAAATCTTTCATTGCTCTCCCGATCATTCTTTCGAGTGACATGTTTTTCCAATCCCTTGACATCTTCTCGGACACGAAGATTTCGAGGTTCCCGTCGTCCACGCACATCGAACTTCTTCGCTTTGCCCAGACGGTCTGGACGCCAGGGGATGAGATTGCCATGAGGGACGAGTTCATTCCGACGCTTGGCTTCGTTTCTTTTGTGGTGTACCAAAACCCTGATTTCTTGTGTGGTCAACTTTGGGACGCCTGGAGAGTCGTCCTAAATCTATTATATTAGACTTGTGCTGAATCAAATTGGAAGGATGTGATTCAACGAGACCAATCTCCAGACCTCAATGACGCCAGCGGCTCGGGTGTGACCTCTTCAGGTACGCCCTCTGCCGGGACCCCATGTGCTTGAAGAACCCTGAGACCTTCACCGTCTCGGGGCGCGACCCCGAGCGGACGCCAATGCAGTGGAGCCCAGGCAGCTCGGCACTGGGAAGCAAAGCAGCATTGGCTGCTTTGGAAAGACTTCATGTTCGGACCATGTATTCCATAGTGGCCCAATTACTTTACTTCAAGTGATCCTCACCATGACATGTCAATCAGTTGTTTTCATGCCATGGTGAGGAGCATGTTGCCATGGTGGGGTTGTGGTTCTCGATTTTGCTTGTCGGTCCTCGGGTTTGGGGTTGTTGCTTTAGTGTTGGGGAGTTCGCGTCGGGGTGTCACCGTGGTCCGCAGCTGGCATTCTATCCAAAGTGTGACCCTGTGACCACCTGCCACGCAAAATGCCACACACAGGTAATTATTTCTATTGTTGTGTTGTGTTGTGTGTTGTGTTGTGTTGTGTGTTGTGGTTGTGGTCAGAAATGAAGGCAGAGGATGTGCTGCGGCTACGAGTGTTCCAAAGGCGCCTAGGCGCCGGGCCCGGCGCTTGTTGGGCGTGCTATATGTCTTCTTTATCCACGGCGCTCAACCATTTTGTTTGTGGCTGTGCTTTGTTGGTTGTGTGTTTGTGGTTGCGTGTTGTGTGTTTTTGGTTGTGCTTGTGTTTCGTTGGCTTTCTTTTGTGTGTTGTGTGTTTGTGGTTGTTTGTGTTTGTTGTGTATTGTGAGAGCGCTTGCTGTTGAGGTCCGGGAGTGCACACTGCGATCTGGTGCTGGCTGTTGAGGTCCGGTAGTGCCCACTGCGATCTGGCTCTTGCTGTTGAGGTCCGAGACCGCCCAGTGCGATCAGACCTTTGCTGTTGAGGTCCGAGAGGACGAGTTGCAGCACCTCTCTTGAAAATCTAGCAAACTTTACCTGGCAGGTGGCGAAAAACCAACTCTTTTGAAGACCCGGGCTTCGTAGAACTTCCCGGTTTTCCTGCGTCGTGTGGTCGGTCCTGTTTGGCACTGCGGGAACACGCCCAGTACCAGCCAGGCCCTCAGGCCGGCTTTTCGAGCAATGCCAGTACCTGGCTTCCGGCGCGGATGGGTGGGAAGCTGGGTCGGAGAAGGAGTGGGGCGGACGGACGGGCGGGTAGAAATAATCTAGAGTTCGGTGCACTGCAGGAAGAGTAAGGGGAACTCAAAGGGGTTAGCAAGCAAGAAGTTATGTAACCAACAAAGGAACGTGTGCGCATGATGCAGATGCGCCCCTCCGGGGGAAAAATAGACCTCACAAATTGTGCTATGATACAATGATATGTTTTTTCTCCGCAGATTCAAAGGTTTCCAACCAGGAGATTTGCTTGTTGTTTGTCTACTCTCCTCTAGCCTTCAGCGGATGTTTTTCATTCTTTTTCAGATTCCAGTCTTCTTTCGGGAAGAGGGGCGCATGTATCGCTTGTGTAGAGGGGTATGCGCGTCTCATGGTTGTTGAGAATCTCCGTGCCGTTGTTGTTCATCGACATCCCCAAAAAAGTCGAAATACATAAACGGAGAAGTGGAATTTCAAGTGTTGGCAGTATCTTGCCCATCAATAAGAATGGAACGAACTTGCGCAGGTGAATTCGGACTATGTCACTGTGAACGTGGAGACCGCCGCTTGGCTTTCATCCGACAAAGCATGGGCTGGAAGGGGGCGCCAGGTAGTGTTATGTATGCAAGAAGGTTGAGCGCAGGACCCTCGATGATATTCAGCCTACAGAATGCAAGGGTTTAACCCCCCTACAGAATATTATCATTTTGTAGTGGAACCCCTGTGATTGGGCTCCCGCATTTTGTGCGCTGCAAACAGCGTTGGGTGTAACCATATTGTAATGGAAGGGAGATTCATGATCAGGGGTTGGGTTCCCTTTGTTCTGTAGAGGAGGTCCTGCATTGAGTTGAGAATCATGATGGATGATCAGAAAGATATAATTACTTCATTGACAACCGACAGTTTTTAATCTATTTTTGAGCTTGTTATTTTACTTTACTTTACCCATTTTTCTTGCTCTTGTCTCTTTCTTTGTGGCACTGACAAGTGTTCTTTTTGGCGCTGAACAAAAGTGTTCTTTTCTTTCCCGGGTTGGGGGCCAGTTTTGCAGAGTAGGGGAGCTTGTCAGTGGTGACCAGTGCTAGGAAAGTGGTTGAAGTGGAAGTCTTGAGAAAGAGGAAGAGGTGGACGATGGAGGGTAGCTCTGGTAGGGCCTGGTGGGTGCTACCAGTGTTCCTGGTGGTATTTGCTTTCAAGCAGGCTTACTTTACATCAACCATAGGCCCCGGGTCGCGGGCTGTAGATGAGTGAAGCTTGTGACCAACACCAGGAAGTGGTTGAAGTGGACATGTCAGTCCTGAGAAAGGGGCAGAAAAAGGAAAAATGAAGAGGTGGAGGTTAGGAGGGAGTTCTGGTAGTAGGTTGCGGCCAGGCTGTTGCTGGTGCTTTGAGAGGCGGGCAGGGTTGGGCCCTCCATTTTGCAGAGCAGGGAAGCTTGTCAATGCTAGGAAGGCTGCTGAAGTGAAAATGCCAGTCTTGAGAAATGGGCGGGGGAACGGAAAAAGGAAGAGGTGGAGGATGGAGGAGGTAGCTTTGGTAGGTAGGCTGTGTGGTGGGACCATGTGGATGTTACTGGGTGTTGCTGGTGTCTCTGCTTCTGTCAACTAGGTCCACTTTACATCAATCACACAGTTCAGCCCCCCAACACACGGAACAGAAAGCGTTGAATAGTGTTCATGTTTTTTTATTATTATGCATTTTGTTGATTATCTGTGAGTGCTTGGAAACGCACACATTTCGAGGATTTTTGCGGAGTCATCTTCACTACTAAATGGGACCCTAGTTGCAGCGCATGTCATTTTGTAGCTCTCAGTGGCCTTGGGTCCCTCCAAATTGTGCAATCTTCCAGGTCTTTCTCTACAAAATGGCTCCAACACTTTTAGGGGATTTTTGTAGAGATGGATGTTGGTGGTTGTCAATTAGTAGAGAAATTGTCTCCTTCCATTGGAACATCGCTTTGCTCAACAATCTCAATGTTTTCCATGCACATACCTGTTCAGCTTTGATTCAAGATTTATCTTTTTTCCCCAAACATACAAAACTCAAGCCGATATAACTTGATCAACAAGCGGGATGTTACACAGAAGCAAACTTAATTCCAAGCATCCATAGTTCAGTAGAAGCAAAGCCTGACAAGAATGCTCGACTCTTGCATTGGTATTTCGGGTCTATTTCCTCCAATCCGGGTAATTCGAAGATCGGGATGTCTACCCTACCCCCCAAAAAATCATATAGAACTTGGTCCGACAGGCGAAGAAGTTCTTGTCTTCCCATCCCCGCCAGGAACCTTCCCCAGAAAGTTTTCCCTCACGTCGATCTGTCGGCTGAACACCGAGCTTGTACGTCCAAAAATTTAGTTCCCGATCTTTCAGGCAACAAAAAACCGGACGCAGCGAGGTCACCTCGTCCCACACCAAAAGCCTCCTCCGGTCCTTTCTTGGGCTCTGAGGAGAAGGCCCAGAAGACTTCGCCCTGGTCGGTGATGAGGAGTGTCCTCCAGTGGCGGAAGAACCACTCGGAATTGGCCACTGGGAAAATTACCGAAGTTCCAGGAGAGCTGAGCTGTCGCGACTACTGGTCAGTTGGGAGGAGTGAGGCTGGAGGTCTCCTTGACAGGCGTTGGAGCCTGAAGATGAAGAGTGAAGAGCTGCATGGAGGTTCTAGGTTTGTATTTCTGCGTGAACCTGGAAAAGATTGCTTTTGAAGAGAGGAATTATTCTGGCATGATGCCGAGAATGCTTGCTGTGCTTCAGCCAATTTGGTGCTCTGGAGCTGGCCTAACTACTGCTGCATTGCCCTGACGAGGAGACTTCCAGGGGCCAGCGTTGCAGAAGGACTTGGTCTTGGTGAAGTTCACCATGGGCGACATGGTGCGATGGGCAGAAACAGGGCGTGAAAGGGTTGAGCTGTCGACTGGTTAATAGTGGGAGACACAGAACAGGAGTTAATCCAGATGAAAGGAATGGCAAGGTGGTTGTATTGGAAGGTAGATGACTACCACACGAGTTGGGCATGTGTTTTGAGTGTTCCCCAGCCTCTCGCAGGCTGCTGCTACCGTGGGCAACTGGAACTCGCCAGCCCGGCGCGTCCGTTGGGTGTTGAACAGGAAGTGCCCGACACCGTCAGCGAAGCGATTTTTACTTTCATCAAAACTGCGACAGGTTGCTTTCTGAAAGCAGAAGAAGGACAGGCAGAAAACAGGCAGAAATCCTGTTTACTGCGATTATGTTTTTGTCTTTAGAAAAAGCCGGAAAAGACTGGGAGTGGATCCAAGATAAGCATGGAGCCTGCTTGGATCCAAGCCATCTCTGAAGCTTGGATCCTTGCGAGGAAGTACTGCAGAATTGTAGGCCAGCACGGAAGTGACCTTCGCTGAATGCTGAGCTCCTGCCAGGGCCTATAGCTTGGCAATGGACCTTCCTTCATTGGTGAAGGCGGAGCTGCTCCAAAAGCACTTCCAACTGGGGAAGGGCTCCATTGTTTTGCTCACACTGCTGGCAAGAGGGTGCAGGATTTCTTCCATCAAAAGAGTGCGACACCAGTGTGACAATTCGGTGGTTGGTATCCGCAGAAGTAGCTTTACTTCCAGCACGGAAATAGGATGGACCCTTTGGTTTGCACAGTCCATGCTGGTTGCCCACAACTCGACATCAGAATCATAATGTGTTTTTTTGTTTTTGTGTTTTGCATTGATTGAGCCATTGGGTGTCAACCCTGCAAAGGAGGGTCTGACCAGTTGGCCTCCCTCAACAGCATCCCTCAACAGCACCCGTTGTATCCCGACTCTCGGGGTCTGACCAGTCACGTTTTGTTGGGCGATTCGATGCAGAGATAATACTCGTATCAATATGTATCAATCGGTTTACATGGGGAAAGCACACCAAGTCAATGAGATGTGAAAAACAAGGCAATGAGTGTTTTATTGCTGTGGATTTTATTGCTGGATTGACTCAACCTTACTACAATAAGCTACTAGGAACAAGTGCATCGCTTCTAGTAAAAAGTGCCTTACTAGCAGTAACAAGAAGCTAGTAGAATCCGTTTCCTTAGATGGAGATTGCTACGGAAGATGAGAACTCAACACCCTGTGAGATGGTGAGATGCTTTTTCAATGACGATGTGCACATACGCGGGGCAAGAGTCGAGCCAGGGACGATTAGGGGGATTCAGGTGCAAGTCGCTATTTGACAACGTCAAAGATCTATGATGTCTGAAGACATTATGAGACACATGAACTACTGTAGGAGTCTTTCAATCCTTGCTTTCCAGCAAGGAAGGGAACCTCTACAGGACATCCTGCAGCGCTGCGGTCGAAAGAGCTTTTGTTGACCACTGCTCTCTTCAAATCCCAGCAGATCCCGACAAAACCCGCCCTGCGGGGGTAGACACACACACACATACGGAAGAGCTTCGAGCCATGTCAGTCAGGGGATATGAAGCAGTTCCTTGGGGCCAAACAGTGGGCCCAGTGCTCCTTTTCCCTCCGGGAGGCCTCTGGCGGAAGTGTCCAGATTCTCTTCTCCACCGACCCGGATCGAACCAAAGAGGCAAAGCGAAGAAACACCGGTCGCAGCCACTCACGAACCGAAGACCATGGAGAGCCTCATGTTCCTCAAATGTGGGGTTGAATTGTCTATTGTCATTTGTTGTGCATGTTGAATTATACAGGGGAGTCAATTTTAGACCGGAAACATGCCTGGTGTGCCATGCTTCTAGCTGCCAAGGGTACTTCAAGACAAGGTGTTTTCATGTGATTGATTGATCTTCAATCCACTTCTTGAATCGGAGATTAGGATGAGTTCACTGCAAGGCCTGCCTTGTCACTGGAAGAAACCTGCCAAGCCTGGTTTTGCTTATTGGGGTGATATTTTGCCTGAGCAACTCTCCTTCTGGACAAGTTTGTTTCCGGGTTCCGGGTTCCTTGAGCAAATCCAAGTAAGGTCTCCGTGACTTTTTGTGTGGATGGCGAGAATGAAGAGGTCGAGCAGGTGAGACGCTCGTTGGGCATCGGTCACGACGATCAGCGAGGGTGGCGGACAGGTGGCAACGCCCTTCGTCCTGCTTGCCGGGGAAGTGGTGGTGATCACGTTTAAGGAGGAAATCCTGGAGACTTGGCCGTTGGGTGAGGTGCGATTTCCGTGTCCCGGTCGTCAAAAACGCGGGGTGGCAAGGGATCTCTGGGTCTCGACCCGGATGGGATTTGGATCTGCAAGGGTCTCCCCAAATGAGATCCCCACTATAACATACTTTCAGCATGAACATGATACACAGTGTACAGGTCCGTTAGATCAGGCTTCGAAGGGACAAAACTGAGTGAAGAGAATCTGGTGAAAGACTGCTAGGACCCTTGTTGTTCACTAACAATCTCTTGTTGATAACAACGATCGCATGTTCCTCATGTTCTAGTTCTCATGTTCCCGGTAGTCAAGAGGGATTTTGTGAGTTAGTCAAGAGCTGAGGGAGGTGAACAGCCCTTCAAGTGGCAATACCTTTTTCAATGTATTTACTCTCGGACTCACGTTCCAGACGAAGTGGAACGTCTGTTCCTAAGGGAAAAGGATCATCCAGGGGACCATGCCATCCACTTCCATGTTAGTGAGTCAGAGTATGGCTGGAAATTGAATTCCCAACATGGAACTTACTTTTGGTGGAGCTAGGTAAGACTTCTCGAAGGATTTCGAAGGTATGTAGCATTGCAAATGACACCCTCTTTTCTTTGATGAGCGGTGCTCCAACATCTTTCGCTGGTCAACCTCGGCAATGCCAAGTCCTGAGCAGTCATCAAGATTCTTTTGTCTCCGGAACCTTTCCAAAGGATGAAGAAACCATGGTGTCAAGTGCCAACAGTTCAAAACATACGAATGATTGGTCGGGGAATCATGGATGTTCAGCAACTGTTTGCCTTGATCCAAGCCCCTTGGCCACCATCAAAAAAATTGCTTAGATCCAAGCCTGAAGCTGTCAGGGCCCGGCAGCCCAGCGACAAAAGCACAAAACACCTTGGAACATGGACACCCCGGGGAGATTTGCGTTTGCAACTTGTGTCATGCAGAAATACACCAATCGGATATTTGTTCCCTTTACTTTTGCCGGATGAACGTGCCCAAAAGTCTCACGCGGAGCATATATAGATCATGACACTCAGTGGCTCCACCGCTTCCGCGGTTTTGGAGAAAGAACCCAGCTTTGGGGATGGGATTGGTTCATGGGCCCTTTGAAGAGAGATTCAAGTCTATTTTAGACAACGTTCACCTAGTAGATCGCTTGCTTCCGTATGGCAGTCCAAGAAGTCTTTTGCTCCGCATGGCTCCACATCCGCACGTGGCACCGAGGCTAAGGCATGGAGAAGTGAAGATGTAGTGGATCTTTAGGCCGCACCGCATCTGGGCTTTAGGCCAAGCTTCGGTGTCCCATTCGACTGGCCGAACCGGGGCCCCGTTGGATGGGCCGAACCGCCACTTCGAGGGAAGTGGCCGAACCCGACATTTGAAGCTTCGCTTTGGCCTGATGGAGCTGGGATGAAGCAGGACAAGTTTTTGGCCTGACATGGGGCAAGCACGACTCCTAAGATTAGATCGCCCCGAAGTCTCATTTCTTTTTAGGCCAGGCATCCCATGCCTTATCCCAGCATGCCAGAACGCATGTTCTTGAGATGCTTGATTCTGAAAAAGTGCCGGGCAGGTTCTCGATCGTTTCTCTCCCGACCTTTCTTCGACTGCTTAGCCAATTGAGACTGAGACACCTATATAGATTGTAGAAACACATTAAACATAATGCAACGGTTGTAAATACTTGAAGGAGGTGTTTCTTTCTTTGGACCTGTAGACATTTCTTTCTTTTTTTTACTTCTTGAATATCAAAACTGGACCCAGCTTGGACAGAAATCTCAAGCTGCTCCTTGTGCTTCTTCGGTCAAAGCAGATAGGGTGTTTTTTGTTTTCGCCGAGGTTTCTCCTGGGGAAATGGGGCAGGGAGATGAACTACCGAGTTCGCAGCGCCTTGCAGGACAAACGCTCCGGGACGCATGCGGGGGGCTGGTAGCATGTTTCGTTGGTTCTTATGCAGTTCTTATGCATGTGGGTGGTTTTAGCAACTCTTGAAGATGACGTTTGAATTTTGCGAGCGGAATCACGTTTTTACATTACTATATATTTAATGAACACATATATACACCGTACACAGTTGTTTCCTTCCTTGGCCATTTGACGTCCCACCTTGAAGACGTCACTGGGCTGCCGCGGGTTGTCACCGTACACAGCTGACTCATGATTTGAAGTACTATGAAATGCTGATTGAAGCAGACAGTGAAAAACACTTGAGCATGTCATTTGTGAATGTCCAACCCTGAGTGTTGTTAAAGAAGAAACACAGCCGCTAAACAACACGGGAGGTGCCGATCACAGTCATACGAGACACAAATTTCCTAGATGGCTCTTGGATGTTTGGACCAGACGCGGAGAAAAAGATCTTTCGAATCTGGATCTCTCAACAAGACAAAGACATGATGAGTCACTGGTTGTCCCCAGATTCTGTGAGCTGATTGAACCAAAAGAAAGGCACTCGGCAAGGTCCGATGGAGACCCCCATGCTGAGCGAAGTCATGAAGTCATGACATCCACGCTGAGCTCCCTTCAAACTCCCCAAGAAGACTTTTAGAAGGGGGTTCAATTTCGCACCAAACTTGGGGCCCCGGTGTCATCGACTCTCATTCCACTAAGTCTTAGTCTTAAAGGAACTCACCAAACTCTTCCATGCATCTCATCCAGCTCACATGACTTCTTCATACCATTCTTCGACACAACCAAACTCCCTGGAACCAAGGTGCTGTGATGAGGCTGGGGAACAATCCCATCACTGCGATTTCTGTTGGTGCGACATTGGGTGGCCTGAAACACATCCTGCATGAAAGACTTCTTCAGAGCTTGTCAAAGCATGTTTGTTGTATTTTGTGTTTGAAAAAGGGTCCAAAACAAACACGTTCTGGGATAGACTAGACGAAACCTTGATGCCGGGAGTGAACGAAATTGGTGCCTCTGTGAACCAAAAGAGTACGGACAGAGGTGCCACAACCTGCCAATTTGGAGTCGTTTTGGCACCATGACAAATGGTCTCTGATAGTCTGCTGGTTTTCCATTATGTTTGGTATTGGCAAGACATGGCAAGACGATCTTTATGAAACCCATCGATCTTTCTCACTGAGAGGTGCAAATTGGCAAATCCTTTTTTTGGCAAGAAGCACCGAAGGATGATCCCAATGATGTCTTTTGAGAATAATAGAGGGGTGGGTTTGGTACCATATACCAATTGGTTATCGTTGGCTGTACACTGGCGGGGGTATCCATTAATCAATCAATACTGTAGTACAAAAAACCCATCAACCCTTGTTGGTGGTTGGTTGACTAATGGATGGATACCCCCCAAGTTGCTAAGGGTTGATCAACCAATTCACCCAATAGAGGATCAACAGTATCAACCATTGTCGGTGAAGTCTCACTTGGGGCAGCGGCTGGAACACACGAATTGAACCTGGACATGGCGAAGCAGCCGGCGAAGTCCACAGCTGGGCATTATCGGACACCTTCATAGCCTTACATAAACCAGTGGATCAACTGCAATCCTAGAGTTCCAAAATGGTACAGCCAGCCATAGAGTTCATTCTCTTTCTGCCCTCTTGAAGGCCACAAGGGTTCCGGTTCCCAAGGCATCCAAAGACTCGGACCTTCTTTTAGGATCCTTTAGGCGCGGTCTCCCAAAACACCGCGGGTCGTTTTCATGGTGGATCCACCATGATCCACCACCGGTATCGCTGGAGCTCTGGAGCTCGGATCAGATCATCCAGGTATCCCTGGAACTCCAAGAAGGAGGTGCTCTTTTGGCGTGGCGGCATGACCGGCAAGCCGAGAAGCCTAGGAGCTCGCGGCGCGAGCCGATCTTCCGGGCGTTCAGCGATTCTGACCGGGTGGAGTGACCGTTGGGAATGAGAGAGTGAGAGAGTGACACTCTTACCAGTCGATTTGGTAGGGAACCCCTAAATGGTTCGACGAATGGACGAATGAAGCACCTGCCTGTTTTCGCTGGGTTCTTCTCGTGCTTGTGGATTTCAAGTGTGTTTCGCTCTTGGGAACTCTGGCAGAATGCGGCATCGGGCTGCTCTCTGGGCCAAAGGAAACGGCTGAATACGCAGCTCAGAATACGGCTGAGAATACGCAAGCAACCTACAGTGTGGGGTGGTAGTTTCAGATTTTACAGGATGCGCCATATTTGGACCCATCTATCATGCTAGGTTGGAGGCCATTCCTAGTAGGTTGGACGTCATCGCCATTATCTTCTTTTCATATTCATTTACTGTAATTATCATCTTTCTTGTTAGTTTATCAATGTTTATCATGAAATGGATTAATTATTTATCAAGCTATGGCTTGGTGGCTCTGCCCAGGTGGCTCTGCCCAGCTCACATGGGCGTCCTGGCAGAGATCGTGGGGTCGGATTTGGCGCTTGGACATGGTTCGCAGTCATTGATTTGCTCCTGGAACCTCAAGAGCCAGGGTTCCGCAAGCAACCAGGTTTGAGTTTTCCCAATCAACCAGGTTTGATGTACCGAACCTTAAATTACTCTTGCAGTCGGAGAGCCCTTCTTTTTGCTTGATCCGTTGGTTCCATCCGATCCGTTCGAGGCGATTGCATGGCGCTTCAGGACCCCTTTTTTGGGCCAGGGACTGCGTGCCTCCCGTGGTGCGGGACGCAGTGCGACGAAAGTAGGGAATGAAGGAATGACTCCCAACCGAACGTAGAGTCCTTGCTAGCTACTAGTAGTAATGGCCTCCACCCTAGCAGCGATGGCCTCCAACCTAGAGCGACGAAAGTAGGGAATAAAGGAATGACTCCCCACCAGAGATTCAAGAAATACCTTAATTAGGATTCATCCCCCCAGATTTTACAAGCCGCACGAGTCAGTTGATCAGGAAACAGAAGTTGGAAGCGGTTCCGGTCGTGCCTTCTGGAGCATGTTTTAACCCGCCCAAATATGGTCTGACTTGTGGGTGTCCTTCTCTTCTCCGGTTTGGTCCAGCTACCTTCGTCCCAGGGTTTGAAGAGATACATGTGTGTAAAGTGGTCCCCAAATAGATAGTGGCACGGTGTCCAATACATTTTCTACGTGGGGAACTACGTGGGTCTATAGATCTATATAGTGACCAACTGAGCAGATTCCGGGCCAGAAGCCAATCTCAGTGATCAGGCAAACCCGAAGGGTCTCTGGTCTCCTTGCTTAGCAGGACCTGGGCCGCGCCAAGCAGTGGAACCTCACGCGTTTCGGCGGCGCTTTTTTCTGCTGGGAGGGGTCCACATCTGGCGGATGAAGGTCTTTTTGAAGCTCCAAGAGATTCCAAAACATGTTGGACTTCTGGAGTACTCTCAGGTTGGCGAATAAATAGTAGTCACAGCATGAATTGTATCACAATGTTGCACGGATTTCGCTGGAACCTGTTGCCAGGTCTTTGTGGGTACCCTTGCTCGCATGGCTAGGACCAGAGTTACCAGACGTTATATAACGAGGACCACTTGATGATCGGCCATCGCCAACTTCAGTCTTTCCTTCAAATGATGATTCTACGCAATTGATTGGACCAACGACACGGCCAAGAAAAGACAGACAAAACGCACCCAAAACGACGTTGATTTATAGAATGATCACGGCGAAGAAACGGCTGATGAGTTTTTGAGTCCCTTGATACAGTTGCAAGGGCTTAAGAAACAGGTTGAGAAAGCATTTCAACATGGAGCTTGAAGCAGGTCAAACTGGGGGAGGTTCGTTACTGAGTTGGACATTAGATATCCTCATCCTCATTTTCTTTGACGTGTATAGTATACTTAGTCGGGACGGACGCCTAGATAGGATATCACAGTTCTTGAAGCAAGAGTGGGCCTCCCCAGATCATCCAAATCTCAATTTGTTAGAGACCCTCTCATCTCCCAGAATGCTCTGCAAAGCCGTGTCAAACACCGCCCGACGGATTCCACAATTCTCAAATCACCAAGGACCATCTCCGGACTTTGGAACATCGCCCATTCGGGCATCGGTCGCAGACCTCTCTTTGGTGGGTCGCAGGGAGTCGTCCTCGTTCCGACGCGACGCGTCTCGTCCTCGTTCCGACGCGTCGCGCGTCGAGGCATTGGCATCTGGGCCTGAGGGGTCGTGCCATCCTCTTGCAGAGCTTCGCGCCACCAGGTCCGATGACATCGATGCGAGTAGATCGCTGTTTGAGCGCTTTTGAGCGCTTTTGAGAGGGTGAGACGAGAGAGGATGAGAGAGGTGCGTTTGCGGGTTTAGAGTGGTTCTGACGAAAGTTCCAACTGGAAGACCAGAGAGACATGACAGAATGCTTTTCAATAATGAGCGCTTGTGTAATATAAACATTGATCTTGATTCCGCAGAATCAACCAGCACTTTCTGTTCGCATCATGACCCTCACATCCAGCTGCATGATTTCCTCACGACGTTGCGGCGCAGGCTATGTGGATATGAAGTTCACCAGCGACGTGGGAATGACCGACGAGGCTCCATGGCTTTTTCGGAAGTGGAGGTTTCTGCCAATTGCCAAGCTCAAAAGGACATGGGCTAGCGTGGTTTGAGGGTATATCTTGACTCATATCTGGCTTTTGGGAATTTCAGTCTGGAGATGAGCTCATGGATGGTCAATATACTTTGGAGATGACAGGAAACTGCCGATGCGTGTCATAGACCCAAAAGGCGGCATCAAAACCAGCTTCATAGCAAAGATCACTCAGGAGTCAGGACCAGTGTTTAGTCCTCAAATTCAAAGACAAAGAGGAAGAAACCAACGACGACCAGGCTGACAGGTGTAGTAAGGACCTGGCGGTACGGACTGAACAATGATCGGCGGAACGACCTGAGAAAAACAAGCGAGACAAGGTGGCACACAATTATTCCCTCAGCAAGAGTCACCCAGACCAGCGAAGGGCCAGCTTATAAGCCCCCTGACCTGGAAGCCACTGCAAGCCACTGTGTCGAGGGTTGAATCAGAGGGACGCCACTAGAAGAGCACATGGTTTTCGAGCAGCCGGCATATCACCCTGTTCTCTGTTCTCTTCACAAGAACCCAGTAGACCTCTTCTCACATAGGATCACCCGAGGCGGTGATGCGGAATTCTAAAAAATCTCTGGCGGATTCCCACACATCCCTGTCAGTGGTGCTATCAGTCCGGCTAAGCGAATGTGACCGGTTGAGCAGGTGAAGGCCTTGCTACTGGAACGTGGGTGGCTTGATTTGAACGAGCCACTTGGAAGAGCTTGGCCCACAGGTAATTAGGTTGCAGTGCAGTCCCTCAGATGGAACGATGGTGTTCAAGTGAAACACTATAGTTATATAATATAACTTATAATATATTATCACGATTTTGAAATATATCTGAACTTGGGGATTTGATTTCGGATCCTGTTTTCTTCAAGACGCTTTCAAGTTCACCAACTGATCCAGTTTGTCTGGAAATCGCAGGGAAGGTTTTGATTTGTTTGCCGAACCATGTGTTTTAGAGTGGAGCTTCCAGCATGGAGTAAGAACCTACCCTCCATCGACAATCATAAGACGGAAGCGATGGTTTCGGATGGACTAGGATGGACAGGGACTTCCTTTACATGGTGTTCTTCTATGTTGGTTTTTAGGAAGCAAGGACGCTACTAGGGGCTCCTGGCCTTACTACTAGGAACATGAAGCTACTAGGAAAAAAGGGCATCGCTACTAAGAGCAAGAAGCTGGTAGGGTGGAGGCCATAGGTGGGCTGAAGCTTGCAACTTTCATCGCATCGCCGCAAAGGCCGCAGCAGATGTTGGAAGAGCAGCTGGGCATCCCAGAGGACGAATAGACCAAAGCGGTGCAGAAAGGGCCACGAGGTCCGCAGATGGTTCAGATCTGTCGTTGACCGTTCGAGTCTCGAAATGTTCATGCCATGTTGCAACGAGCTGCGCATGCTTCTGCGATACTGTCGCACGGTCAGGATCTGTCGTGCCTGTCACCAAGGACACAAGTATGACCGTGGTGGATGTTTGATTGTGATTCAAATCGGGCTTTCATGCAGAAAACAAATGGAACCCGTCACTATTCCATCACCCATCTCACATCATCTCGAACCATTCTCAGATTATCCCTGCTTGCACTCGAATGAATTTCTGACCTCATCTAATGCACTGCAAGTCTCGGAAATCGCTGTTTCAGGCACTGGGAGGTTTCTAGCTCACCCAATGCTTCTGTATACATCCTGCGAGGTTTCATGCCAAGTACCTCTTGGTCACTGACGACAGCGACCGGATCTTTTGGATGGCGTCCGGGGTGCCCAGAGGGAGGAAGTGGAAGTGGATCCTCGTTCTGGAGGAATACTTCAATTGGATTCCACTTCTTTCTTCCGGTGTCAGATGTAGAATTCCACTCATTTTTCAGCCATGTTAATCCTGCCCGGGAACGGGAATTGCTTGGCCCGCTGTAAAACCCAGAACGAAGTCCAGGACCGGTAACTCCTTGCTCTTCCTGCCGAGCAGTGGCATGTGGAGAGGTTGCGGCCTTCTGGCGTGGTGGCCTTGGCCCGGGAGAATGTCCTGCCAGGTTGACATGGTCATAAAAATGTCAGAACATAAATATATTGACAAATAGTTGGAGTCTTTTTTGGCCTCTCAAGTGAACTCAGCTGACCTCAGCTGTTGGAGAATGCACGTGGTTGAGACAATTGGGCCCTGAGACCTGTGGACCACGTGGTTGACACGGTGAAGGAAAGATGGGGTCCAAATGGGCAAGGTTAGGGAAATCACCTGCGGTTTAGTTTGCACCAGAGATCTATGTATTCCTTGGTTGACACCACTTATGAGGATAGCAGATATGCATTTGCTCTCTGGTCGTTACCACCGCCTATGTTGGAGTAGAGGTGTGAAAGTTGTCGAGGTGACTGTTTGTTTAATTGCGCCTGGATTAGGTATCGGGGCCATCTATGCGCCCCGTAGCTTGAACAAAAGAAGGTTTTTGGAAGGAGCAAGGACGCTACTAGGGGCTCCTGGCATCGCTACTAGGAGCAAGGACGTTATTAGGGGCTCCTGATTCTGCACTTAACCTTGCAGAACATAGCAGAGATGGGGGCCGCTCCATCTTATGGGCCTTTGCAGTGGTCGCTACTTGCGTACTGGCCGCCACTGGCCTGACAGACATGTAGTAGACATTGCTGTAACACTTTCTTTTTGCAATATATAGACTCTTTCTGACATAGCAGCTTGCAGCTGGCTGGTAGGCGGCAAGGCCAAATGTACAGAACTTGTCCAAATGTACAGAACTGTGCCATCTATAGTCCCGTAATGCATGCAAAATACAGGCATCTAGTATCCGGACAGAAAATTTGGCAGAACTTTATTTTCTGCCCTCAACTTAGTAGTTGAGCCATCTATGGGTGCGGAATAGCGAGAAAAGGGGGATACATGATGCAATTTTATAAAGTTGCTCCGAGGTCGACTACCAAACAAACCCCGCAATCCTCCAGGGCCGACTCTCTCTCTCTCTCTCCAAGGCTTGAGCCCTGGCGTCACTTCGTGCCGTTGGCGCCAGATTTGTCGGATGCCTTAGAGCGCCCCTCGGACAGAAAAGAAGAAGAGCCCTTCACTTGAGGTTGGAGAAGGGGTGCCAGAAGGAGACTGGAGGTTTCCTCCAAGGTCAGAGCAGGATTGCAGGATTTGAGACTTGGATCTGTGCGATTCCTGCAACTCACCCAAGTACTGCATTTTGCCAACCTCTTGTGAGTGGGTTTCTATGTTGGCCTGGTTTGGAGTGCCAGTCTCAGTGCGGTTTCGTTGATTTTGAGGAATCGCGTGGGCCAAAGCACATGATGAGGAGGCTGGTCTGGCATTTGCCGCATGGTTTAGTTTAGAGAAAAGGACCTTGAAACAAGCACCAATTTTGTTGGTTTTGGTGTAGACGCTTCCCGAGTCCCTGGGCGCTTCCCTGGACGCTTCTTCCGGCCGTCTCGGTTGAAAAAACCGCCAGGCTCGGCGCATGGCGGCCCGGGGCGCTGCTCTGGCGCGGCAGGCCTTCCGGCACGAGGTGCCACGTCACCTGAGGGTGCAGCATCATGGAGGGATAGATTCCCAGAGCAGAAAAGTCACCTGAGTCACTATCCCGTTTGTACGAGCTGGTTGGGTGTGCCAGGATCGACAGGTCGACAAAACCGTTAAACTTGTAAGAACCCTTGGATACCTTGGGTGAAAATCATGCCGTGCTAGTGACATTTACTGTAGAATAAACTGACTGGAGACTTGGTAAAACCACGACCAAAGCACAGTAACCATGCCCACCAGAGGCCAGAGGGTTCCCCTTTTCCAATTTCATCCCGCTAGTTGTAAAGTCGATGTGACCTGTTGCTTCCGAAACTTTCGTCAACCCTGCCACTCAACAAATGTTCTGCACTCACCACATGTGGTTCGGGCCCTTTGCAATTCAGAAGCCGGTCTTTTGTTGGTGAGACCTTGCACCAGAAGGCGCAGCTCTTCTGCCTTCTCCGCATGCTCCAAGAAGTGTCTGCTGGGCTTCAGGCGACGCATGGCGACGCATGGCGACGCATGGCGAAGCGTCGGACGTCGCGTTGAGACGGTGAGGGACCGGTGCACACCGGGTCCTTCGGTCTGGGTGTCCTGTTGCCACCCATCTTCACCTGCCCAAAATGCCAAATAGACTACAGATCGAGTCGAGGCCATCCAGTCGTTCTTCTCTCAGGTCGGCACCTGATTTGATTGACATGCACCTGAAGTGCTTTTCAGACCAAGCCCATCGGCGGCCGGGCGAATTTCTGGTGGACCAACGACGGCCGTGGGCTGCGTGACGACGGAGTCGAAGCGCGCTTCGCGCTTGGCGGAGGGGCGGAAGAAAGGGGCGTTTCTTCAGCGGGCGGACAGTGAAGTGATGCAAAGCTCACCGGTTGGTCTTCAACTAAGTAGATGTTCGCATGGCAGAATCATGATGGGCATCGATGAGCATGTTTGCGTTTCTTTTTCTGAAGCTGAGGAGCGAGCAGTGATCAGTTCTTTTTTGGGAGTCAGTCAGTCAGCTGGATTCAACAAGCATTCTTAAACTGCAAACTCAAGGTTGCGATCGACAGAAATGGATAGACAAACTGGTGAGCCATAGTTGTCAAAACTGGTGAGGCCCTAGAAGCCAACAAGCTATACTATGCTGCATGACATAATGTAATTTTCCTCTTTTGTAGAAGCAACAGAGTAAATGCAAGTGATTGAGTACGACCTTCATTAGGGGCGCTAGTTGCATCAAACATCAACAAACGAGCTCATTTCTATCATCTGGAAGGGGCACCATTCCGAGTACAGACCAAAAAGTCAACCACTCCAACCACTGGAGAAATTGTGATTGGGCTTTGAGTAAGTACTGAAGTGATTGTTGGCAACTTCTGTTCAAACCTGTTTTGGTGTGGCTCAAGTGGCCGGGTCGGTCGAGCGATTGGTTCGGTCTTGAAGTTTGAAGCATCGGAACTCGTTTTGACACATCGATGACGAAGTCTTCAGCGGAAGTCCCGCTTGTTCGGGTTCCGTTTCTGTCCACGCTGCTGAACGATCGCCTTGGATTGCCCTTTGGATTGCATGGGACTAGAGCAATCGAACTCTCTGATGAGATGCATGAGATCCAAGTCAGCCAGGTTCACCTGGTGGAGGTCGGAAAAGCATCCGACCTCCAACACTGCTGCATCCGACCTGTTTAGAAGCAGGTGCTCATGAGGTCCCACCAAATGACGCATACCAGACGAACCACATGAGGAGCGACCAAAACCTCGCAGCC